AATTCTTATTAAATTCTATAAAATAATCCGATAGAAATGTTCAGTACATGTTGCTATATCATTTTATCGGTTTAGTTTTTTCTTTTTACTATTCAATTTACAATTTATAAAAATTTGAAGTCACTTAATATTAGTGTGGTTTATAGGTGACAGCCACCATAGTACATTCAATAATTTTTATTAATTGATAATGCCGTATATATTATTAATATGCAATTATGATGGTCAAAATGAAAAATAAAAACAATGTATCAATATTATTGTTACTATTACAGCTTGAAGTAGTCACGTTCTGTCATTATTGATTCACAATTGTTGAATTGATAAGTATTGCGAAGTTTAATCGTACTTGGTAAATTATGTAGGTGTATCCCTCTCTAGTAACATAAAACAATGCGACAATATCGGTATGACAATAATATTATAAATGTTAAATTGATGTAAGTTTCCTGATTACGACGCACCTGGTAAATTACTTCTCTCTCTGACGGTTAATATAAGACACTAATATTATACCAAATACTGAATTGACAAGAGTCTGTATTACATACAACGCAAGTTTTTGTGAAATTAAAAATAAGTACCTGGTAAATTTTCTCTCCAGATGGTTAACTATTATGACACTAATATTGTATCGAAACTTTGTGACAATTGTTAAATTAATAAGTACACGGATTATGGTGCAAGTTTTTGCGAAATTAAAGATACGATCGTACCTGGTAAATTAGACACATCTCTCTCTTCCCGGATGGTTAACATAAACCAACGTGATGATATCGTTATAACATAATGAAGTAGTTATGCACAACATTATCAAATTTTGTCACAAATATTAAATACTACTAGGATTCACCTGTTAACTACATTAGCAGTTAATGGTTAAAACCTAAACTTGAAATAAAGTAAAAATTTAATTATTTTAATTTTTTCTTGATGTTATTCTTGAACATGCAACATATAGTTGTTCATGAGAAAATACAGGAGTTGAAGATACAAACCAACCTAATTTAATGATAGTTCTTAAGATTTATTAAAGTCATTGCAAATGCTGGTTGTTAATCCTAAAAAAGATGCATAAATTAAAGTACTGCATTTATAGAAATCAAATGAAGTTTTTTTTTAAATAAAAATTGGTCTTAGAATACTTGGGTCACCAAGATTTTCAACCTTAAGAATCAAAAAATGCAATAAGTGGGTTGAGCTCATCCGGCGGAACCTACCTCATTAGAGTGTTCCTTAGGTCGTCAGCTATTAGCACCCAACTGCCTATGACCAATGATACATCACCACTACCTTCTGATACCACAAGATCCCAAGTATTACATAGGAGCACGGCTCTTTCGCTATGTGCATACCCTGCCTCCATGATACGGCCTACCATATAGAGGTCTTAAAAATGGTGCATTTCATCAGCGGCCAAAAAAAACCTTCGAATGATCCCCCAAGTACAGTAGTACCTTTTGTGAAAAAATTTCAGGATAATCTCTCTTTCTTTTCGTTCCTTTGTTTTCTCTTTTTCATTTTTTCACAATGGTTTTTTTCTTTTTTTTTCTTCTTTCCCTTTATTCTTTTTCTTTGGGTATTGATATGAAAAAAAAATTATTATAAAAAGGTAAAAACTATTAAAACTGAACGCGTAATTATTTTTGACGCGTTATATAAATATCAAAGATAGTTTATAACCTAGCGAGAGCAGAATATGTACCTGTCATACGCTGGAATAAAAATAGACACGCATATACAGTGGTCTGACTGTAATTGTTAATATGAATATATTTTTTTGAATAAAATATACTGTTGATAATAAAAACTGTCAAAATGTTTTTCGGTATTAAAAAAAAATTGAATAGAGAGATGTAGACGTAAACATAATCGTGTGAATGTTTAACATGTTTAACAAACAATGATTTGATTGGATAAAAATTGCAAAGTCACGTGCCTAATAAATTCATGAATACGATATCAAACGATATCGTAACGATATCGTTATCTTTATTTATTTAATAAATCACGTTATCATAAATAAATATACCAAAAAGAATCATGAGATATTGTACTGCATAATAAAGCTATATAGCTGTAAAATAAGAATTATTTTTTATCCACAAATCAATTTTTGTATCATAGACAAAGTGAACTTTCTGTACGTGGTCAATTATTGATATCGGGAAGATTCTTCTCCAGCGAATGTCTTGGCTTATCTAAATGCGAAAAAGAGGACATTTCAATACGTTGTGAATTTTGTTAATATTGTCAAACCAATCAATAGTAATAAAGGCATAATATTTATCATCATTTCCTTTGTATTTGAAGATCCCTTTTATAATCGCATAACATTCACCGCTGTCTTCCTTGTGTATTGTTACGATGTCACCAATATGAAGATGTACTTTGAAAAAGACGCCATCGCTTTCTTCTATAGTGTATGTCGCCAATTCATACCAGCTCATTTGAGAATATATAAGAGCTGACTTTTATCCAATGTCTATAAATGAAAGAAGCAGCTCAAATTTGAAATTTGGCAAATTTTTCATGATATTTTTGCGATCCTGACGGGATAAGCTTCTCTTTAAGATAATATTTGTAATAAAATCCACTGGAGATGAAATCGCTATATAAAATAAAAATACGTTAATAATTGCGGAAATATTATTATTATAAAATTGTAATACAACCCTTCTTCATTTCCTTCCAGTTCTTGTTCATTTGATACCTTGTCTTTAGTAATATATCAATTAGTCAATAAATTTTTAAAATTTGAGGACATAGTAGCGAAACCTCTACAAGTTTGTGATAATCTTTGATCTGCGCCTCCATCTACTAAATGACGAATTGCAAAGAGCGTAGTATACCGCTTTAACAAGTCTAGCTCGACATTCTTGCAATTTGTTCGTGGTACCATTGCTTTAAAGATCCGATGCACCATCTCTTTGATACCAACTTGAGTGTTTATAATAAAGATGCTGCCCGAAACTATTTTTCAGTTTCCGAAACTGGAACTGAGACCGAAACTAAATCCGAAACTATTCCAAAACTCCCATAACTAGCCCGAAACTCACTAATTTTGGCCAAAATTAAAATTTGGCCGAAATTATGACATTTTATCACGTGACATTATACCAATTTCCTAAAAAGGAAATTATGTTTCCCAGTAAAATTGGGAAAATTAGTTATACAATAGTTACACAAAATTCCAAAAAAGGAAATTTTAATGTTGATCATTTTCTTGGCCAGAATTACGTTCTAAAAATGGCCAGGATTATATCAATAATTTCGGCCAAATTTTGAACTTTCAGTAATAATTTTGGCATTATAAATTTTGGATTAATTTTACCAGTTTCAGATTAGTTTTACCAGTTTCAGATTAGT